AGAAGATGAGAAAAATACTGAAATTTTAAAACATGTCATTGAAGGTTTGAGTTATGTTGGAATGACTCTGAGAGTGAATTGCAAAGCTTTATGGAGATAATGTCATTGAAAATTTTTGTATATGATAAATTGGCTAACATTTTTAGAGGAGGCATTTTAAGTCTTTCTAAAAGTTAAACAGAAAGGTATTTTTTCCCCTTATGATAAAACAAGGCAGTGTTAAAGTATTGATCCGCTCTTAGTGAAAAAAAAAAAAAAATCACACTGTACGAGGTTTTTCTTTACCTTTGGTAACTGACCTTAAAGAACCAAAGATTTCTTCTGGCGAGTGCACGCGCCCTATAGTGAAAACCTCTCCAAACAAAAACAAAAACAAAAACAAACAAACAAACAAACAAAAACACAAAGATTTCTGTGCTTCATGTTGTATTTACTGGGTTTTTGACTACTTAGAAAAACTGAACTTTATAAAAATTAGAGCTTTTTATGTATATATTCTAAAGACTATTTTTAACGTTCTGATACCACTGATTTGAAATCACCCTCCAAGAGGGATGGCCATGCCACAATCCCTTCTCCTCCATTCTCCTCTCGGGATCTTGGGCACATGCGCACACGTGCCTGGCGTGAGTTTAAGCCACCGGGTCTGGGATTTGAACTGCGATCGACTACATGGAAATCCAGCAACATAGCCATTATGCCAACTGCTGGTCCCAACTGCTGTGATATTTTCAACCACAATTCTATTTTTTTGTGGAGAGTTCATAAGAGAGTAAGTAAACTGGGGGTTAATGGAGACAACCCAAGATAAGCCCCAAAACAAGCTTTATAGCACCAGAAACAGATGTCACCAGCAGCAGGAAATAGAAAGAAAATGTTCTGGCCTCTTCTGCCACTACCTGCAACTGTCCCTGTCTGACAAAAGTTCTAAATTCCTGAGAAACAACCACCCTCATCCAAACCCGAGCTTACAGAATTTTTTCCTAACTTCCCCCTATGATCAAGGCTACAGAAAGAAACTTTTGAACCTACTCAGATCTCACCCCATGTGCTCTTGCCTGGCTCTAATAAACCTAGCTTCTGCTCATGCTCCTGCATCTGGTAAACCCTTCAGTACCTGCACAGAAGCCCCTCTGTAGCTACCATTAACTGCTATATGCGAAGAGTATAACTGAATTCTTTGTCAATTACATCATTATTGAAATAAACTGTCATCGATTTGTTATTTATTGCTATTTTAAGTTTTTGTTATCCACAGTTCCAAAATTGCTTCCCATGGAAAAGACTCTTACAGGATCCTGACATTTTTTAGATTTGTGCACTTTAGGTAAATTTGGATTGAAATCTACTTCCTCTAAATTTCCTTTGTTGCTCAAATATGGCCAAAAAGAGGGTTTTTGACACTGATTCTTAGTCTTCAATCACTTCCCTTCACTGTAGGAAAACCAGACTAGCAACTAGAATAGGTTGCAGTTAACATCATACTTTTTTTCAGCAGGAAAAAACTAAAAGATTTCCTCTAGCAGGAAAGCATATCCACCCTCACAATTTCTACTTCACATAGTACTGGAAATTCTAATCATAGAAATAGCAGAAAAGAAAGAAAGAAAGAAAGAAAGAAAGAAAGAAAGAAAGAAAGAAAGAAAGAAAGAAAGAGAAAGTAAGAAATAAAGAGACCTAAATACAAAAATCAGTTACATTTTTTTTAATCAGATTTTTTATTTCTTATTTTTTACCTTTAATTACAATACATCTTTACAGAACACAAAATGGACCTTCTGGGCATGAGTGTACTGCATACTAGTCCAAGTCAAAGATATTACAATACACATTATCATCAACAAATAATTTCCCATTTTTGTATTTATTAAATCTTTTCCTTCTTTTTTCTGCTCTTGATTCTCTCCCTCCTGCCCCATGATTGCATTACTATGCACTTAAAAAAAAAAAAACAACTATTTGGGGTCAGCAGATGGCATGGATCCCACATAGCAGATTGTGTGGTCACAGTCTCTAACTTGGCAGCTTAAAAGACACTCCAGGCACAGGTGCATGTATGCCCAAAGTCCCAAGAGCAGCACAGAGAAGGGATTGCAACATGATAAATACCCCTGGCGGGGGGTGGTGATGTCTATTTGCCACTCTGTCTCTCTCCCTCTCTCTATTTCTGTCTGTTTCTGGCAAGCATGTGCACCCTATAAAAAAAAAAAAAAAGGAAAATATCTGAAAAAATTTTAAGAAAATAATCCTATTTCCAAAAGTGCCAGAAAGAATAAAATACTAAGGAAAAATGTAACCAAAGAAGTGAAATACCTGAACATTGAAAGCAATATATTGATGAAAGGAATTAAAGAAGACACAAAGAAATGGAAATATATCCACTGCCCATGTACCAGGAAAGTTAATCATGTTAAAATGCCCATACTATCTGAAGTGGTTTAAAGATTACATGTAATGCCTATCAAAATGCCAATGGCATTTTTCACAGAAATAGAAAAATAATTCTACATTTAGTGTGAAATCATAAAAAAGCAAAAGTAGTAAAGGGAGAAAAAAGATGAGGGCGTTTCTTCAAATAGTGCTTCGGAAGTGGTTAAAGACTATCAGGGGGCCAGGGTGGAACAGTGAAATCTGAAAGCCAAAGTCAGATATGAACAAACTGCTCCCTCCCCACTTCTGCTGCCATGTTCTATAAAACCTTCATATCAGGCACTTTCAGACACAGCTGGAGACCTGGGTGTCTGGTGTTTCCTGTGAAAGCTGTTCCCACATGACCCTGTGTGTGACATCTTATGCAACTCAGGACACACTGGACATCCTCCCAGCAGATATGCCAAAAGATTCCTTTTGAGTTTTTTCACCCTTATTTCCTAATGTTATGAAATTGCCATTCCCACAGTGTTTCCTTAGACAATCAAAAGATATCCTCTTTCTGGGACCCCCAGATGGCACAATGGTTATGTCGCTGGACTCCCACATGGCTGACGGTAGTTCGAGCCTCAGATCTGGAGGCTTAAAACACGCTGGGCACGTGTGTGTGCATGCCCAAAATACCAAGAGGAGAATGGATGAAAAGGGATTGCAGCATGGCCATCCCTCGGGGAGTGATTTCTCACTTTATTTCTATCTCTGTTTCTCTGGTGAGAAAAAAAGTCTCTTAAAAAAAAAAGAAAAAAGAAGTTCTTCTTCCCAGAATTAACAGCTAGTGTGTTCCCTTCCTCACTGTCTCCCACCACATGCACTGCTGTGGTAAATGTTTTGGGTCAGCTTCTTCTTCCCTGTTATTTTGGCAAATAACTTAATTTCTCTGATTCTTAGTTTTTCTGTCTAAAAAAATGGAACAAGTAACATTTTTGTGTATTTTTACATAGCTAATATGAATGTCAAATATTTACTGAAGGACTAAGTTTTCTTTTTCTTTTTTTTTAGAGAGAGATTTTTGCTAAAAGGCACATGCACTTGCTGGAGAGACAGAAAGAAAGAGAAACAGAAAGAGAGAAGTCACCCCCCACCCCAAGATGGCCATGCCACAATCCCTTTTCCTTCTCTGTTCTGCTTTATGGCTTTCGGGCACACGAGCACATGCAGCATGAGTTTCAAGTGACCAGTTCTAGGACTCAAACCATGGTCATCCATGTGAGAGTCTGCAATGTAACCATTATGCCATCTGCTGGTCCCATGACTTTTTGAGAGATTTTTGCTATAGGACGTGTGCATTCACCAGAGACAAAGAGACAGAAAGCAATAAATCACCCTCCAGAGGGATATCCACACCACAATCCCTTCTCCTCCATTCTCTTCTTGGGATCTTGGGCGTGTACACACACACACACACCTGATGTGAGTTCTTTCAAGCTGCCAGGTCAGGGACTCAAACCACAGAGGACTATGTGGGAGTCCAGCAACATAATCATTCAATCTGCTGGTCCTTGTCCCATGACCTTAAAGTTTTTAAAGAATTACATAAATAAGTGTCATTAAAGTGTGGTGGTTGACACTGGCTTCCCACAGGACCAAATGCAATTTGAGTCCCGGACCTGGTGGCTTAAAAATCCCAACAAATGAATAAATACATAAAGAAATAAATGTTAAAGCAATAAAATAAAATAAATCATATTGGCCTGAAAAAGTTTCCCATACTTTTGCTTTTAGTTCTTATAAGTAAACCACAACCTCTTGTGAAATCTGCTTCCTTAGTAAGTTGCTGTTATAGCCAATCAGAGCAGCTACACATCGGTCCATCACAGACAGCCCACTCTCTAATCTATGAATTCAGGCAAACTAAGATGTAACCAACCCAGTTCTTTCTCCACCTCATCCCCTCACTTCTGTGTTCTGCCCATCACTTGCCCTTTCTTGCACATAATGGCATCCTAGCATGTGGCTCTCCAGAGACCCTTGGAAGTCATTCCATGGCTGCCTGATTCAAATAGTTTTTGCTCAATTAAACTCTGCTAATTAAATTGTTGGAACTTTTTCTTTTAACAGGGTTATTATAAAACTACCAGAATTAAAATTTTTGTTTTATGAGAAATATTAAATCTTATTGATTATGCTCTTCATTGACATGATTTTTTTTGTTGTTTTACTTACAAACATAAAGTTCAAAGCACAGCCTTTTTTTTTTTAGGCAGATTTCTGCTATAGGGTGTGTGTGCTCACCAGAGAGACAGAGAGAGATAGAGAGACAGAAAACGAGAAATCACCCCCCAGCAGGGATGGCCATGCTGCAATCCCTTCCCCTCCATTCTCCTCTCGGGATTTTGGACACACACACGCAAGTGCCTGTAGTGAGTCTTAAGCTGCCAGATCTGGGAATCAAAGCATGGTTGACTATGTGGGAGTCCAGCGACATAACCATTATGCCAGTTACTGGTTCCAAAGCACAGACATGGAGGTCAAGTATATGTAGGTTTTTACAAAAAAGTTTTGTCAGAGTTTTTGTTTTCCTTTGTTTCTTTCTTTGTTTTCCTTAACACTTGATAGTTAAAACACCCTACACTCCTTGCATAATCCAGGACCCTAGAACCCTTTATCTAATTCCATACTCACGAGATACTCTCATTATACGGCGTCTGATCCACCCATTGCCAATGTCCCTGACCTTCTGGATCTGACAGCCCCACATAATAAGCAGAATACCGGTTCAAATCCTTGATGATGAAGTCCTGAGGAAGAAAAGAAGAGTTATAGTCTTAGGATATTGAACATGAACTGAGTTATTTTTGGCCATGGGAAACTGAGGATCCAGGAATGACCACACGGAGTCCCTGCCCAGCAGTGCAGCAGTTCTCTGGCTGAGCAGGGCAGGATCAAAGATCACTGTGCTGGATGTTCAGTATGTATGGAAGCAATACCTGGGTACGGTCATGCTGGATTCTCATCTCAGAGTGGCCTTCCCTCACTAAGATGGCGTTCTTTAAAGTTGCACATGAGAAAATGTAGATTTAATCATTTTCACTTCATAACTTCAGGTTTTTTTATATTACATTTAATCACATATATCTGTACAGTGTATAATATTTCTTTTTCCAGAGTTTTTTTAGAGAGATTTTTGCTATGAGGGGAGATGCACTCATTGGAGAGAGAGAGAGAGGGACAGAAAGTGAGAAATCAGTCCCCAGGGGTGATGATCACACTGCAGTCCCCTCTCCTTCATTCTCCTCCCGGTTCTTGGGCACCCATGCACACTCGCCCAGCATGAATTTGAAGCTCCTAGGTCTGGGACTCAAACCCTAGTCAGCCATATCAGAGTCCAGCAACGTAACCATTATTCCATCTGCTGGTGTCTGTAACATCATAGATTCTTTCATCCCATCTCTAATTACTGATAGTGACTTTTCATGATTTACCTACCTTTTCCTAACCCACCTAACACCCTTCTCTGTTAAGTAGTTAATAATTTATAAAACATTTCCCAGCCCTTCTTCAAGAGACAGACAGCTCCATGGCTCCTGCGATATAGCCATTTTGGAAAAAGGAAGATGTCCCACTGATAACTGGGCCTCCAGCATACAAAACTCGCGTGAACAGCCCTTCTTCAAGAGACAGACAGCTCCATGGCTCCTGCGATATAGCCATTTTGGAAAAAGGAAGATGTCCCACTGATAACTGGGCCTCCAGCATACAAAACTTGCGTGGTAGGAAGACCACTTACAAGTCTCCTGTCTCTGTATCACTCTTTGTCTCTCTCTACGCATTTGTCTCTGCCCTCTTTCTCTTTCTGTCTTTTTTTTTTTTTTTAAATTTTTGCTGTTTTGGATTTTTTAAGGTTAGGCATTTTACAGGGCCCTTTGGCTCCTCCTAGGTCATTATCTTGTTAATAATCCCCTCTCCTCCTCCCAGAACAGCCCTTCTTCAAGAGACAGACAGTCTCATGGCTCCTGCGATATAGCCATTTTGGAAAAAGGAAGATGTCCCACTGATAACTGGGCCTCCAGCATACAAAACTCGCGTGAACAGCCCTTCTTCAAGAGACAGACAGCTCCATGGCTCTATAGCAAACGCGCTGTGCGGTTTTCCAATTTTTGAGTTGTATTAAAATTTTTTGAATATTAATTTTTTTTTTAAGTTTTTCTCTTCTTTTTCTCTGTGTCTTGTCTGGTGTTTTTGCTGTTGTTTCCCTTTCTCTGTTTTCTTTTCTGCACACTCCTCGACCCTCTGATTGAACTTCCAAGTTTGGGAAGAAACTGATCATCCACCAGATGACTAGAAATCACTGCAGGAGCACAAGAAATATGGGGAAGCAGGAAAATACCTCTCCCACAAGGGAAACAGATAGCTGCTCTTCATCCACACAGAGTTCCATGGAAATCATGGAAATGTCTGATAAAGAATTCAGAACGTTCATAATGGCAAAGCTAACAGAGATGGAAGAGAAGAGAGACAAGGAACTGCTGAAGAGGAAGGAGAAAGGAGTTGAAGAGTTCCAGGAGGTGAGGAAATTCATGCAAGATCTAAAAGAGGAATTTCACACTTTACAAAAGAATCAGATGGAACTGTTAGAGATGAAGGCTATAATACAAGAAGTCAAAATCTCCCTTGAAAGTATTAAAAGCAGACTAGATCATACAGAAAATAGAATCTCTAATGTAGAAGAGAAAATGGTTGGCCTAGAAAAATCCACCGCGAAGACTGAGAAAATGGCCCAAAAATTTGAGAATAATATGCGAGAAGTACTAGATACCATCAAACGTCCAAACATCCGGATAATAGGCATCCCAGAAGGTGAAGAGACTCATAAGGGCATTGATAATCTATTCCATGAAATCTTACAAGAAAATTTTCCAAACCTGGAGAGGCACTCAAAGATTCAGTCCCAAGAAATACAGAGGACCCCAAATAGAATCAACCCAAGAAGATCTTCTCCAAGACACATTATAGCCAGATTGACCAAAACCACAGACAAAGACAAGATACTAAGACTGGCAAGAGAAAAAAGGCAAGTTACCTACAAAGGGTATCCCATCAGACTAACGGCAGACCTCTCATCGGAAACAATGAGAGCGAGGAGAGAATGGGAAAATGTATTCAAAGTATTAAGGGAAAAGCAATTTCAACCGAGAATTCTGTACCCAGCAAGGTTATCGTTCATTTGGGAAGAAAAGACACGAACTTTCCCAGATAAACAAAACCTGAAAGAATTTACCAGCACCAGACCGGATCTCCAAGAAGTTCTTAAGGGAGTGCTATGTCAGTAAAATTAAATGCAGACACACAGAAATAAGAGTTCAGAAACTAAGAAAATGGGCAACTTAATTGTAGGGCCAAAAGCTGGAGTTGAGTATTACATCCCAGATTTCAATCTGGAACATCGAACCTCAACAGATACAGAAGAAAGATTAAGTACATGAGACTGAACTGATGAAACAGTATTCTACGACTTGACTAAAATATTGCTGCTTTTCTTCTAAGCTTTGTTGTCTGGTTTTAAGGACTTTTGTCCTGTCTTCAGCTATCAATAGATTCATGTTCCGACTATTTGAACAGAATACTAACCTGTTTCTAGGCTTTAAGTTTCAAAGAAATATCCTTACCAGTTCAAAACTGCTTTTCTTGAAACCATCGGCTGATCTTGCTATTGAAAGTAGTTAGATTACTTATGATATTGTGTGACCAACGAAATGTTGGGGGAAAAGGGATTGAAGACAACTGTAGACAGCAGAGATAGTGTAATAAGAGAGTGGAATAGGGCAGAGGGCTAGACATGGGGTAAAAAAACATATATATGAAAGTAGAAATGGAATATTATGGATGATAACATGCATTATTAAGCCACTATATAGTATATTCTAGATGGGAAACCACATTTAGAATGTTGTGATGATGCTCAGGGAATGAATGTAAATTAATAAAAAAAAAAAATTTTCAGAAGAAAAAAAAAAAAGGCATTAGAAATACCTATTTGATGACTGCAGTTAAGCTATATAGCCCTAGTTAGGTGCTACTTTACAAGACAATGGGAGGAGGGTTGGACAGGGCAGAGGGTTAGGGATAGGGAATCAAGGATGGCAAAAAAAGAGAAAAAACTCAAAATATACAAGACATAAGAAATGGAAAATTGTTGATAACACATATGTTGATGTACTTGATTGAGCCAACAGACAATGTATTTTGGATGAAAAATTCATTTTGTATACTGTAATGATGTATAGCATATTAATGTTAAAAAATAAAAACAAAAAAACAAACAAACAAAAAACAACAAAAAAAATAATTTATAAAACATTTCCATGTTGAAATAACAAACTTATATTTCAGACTGGAACTTTTTTCTCCTTCCATCCAACCATCACATGATACGTTTTTAATGTCCCCATTTCTTTGGGGGAGGTTAGTTTTACAGAAGCTGGAACAGGAAGGTACAGAAGGTACAGACTTGGGGAACCTTTCCTGCATATTATGGGTAAAGACTTCTGCCTCACCACCAATATCTCAAAACAAGAAAAGCCTCCTTCTTGGCCAAGAGACAACTGCAATTATGCAGAACTCATTTTCTGCTCATCATCAATCAGCTCCATCATCTGTCAGAAATTACCTGCTCAGCCTTGGAGTTGATCACCAACAGATGAGCCCCCATTCTAGAGCAGTCCTTCTCACTCTCATGCCAAGATTTTGATTCAGTAGAAACAAAATAACAGTTGGAGCCAAATGACTTCCAATTCTGTGGGCAGCAGCTCCAGACTTTCTCTCTGTTGAAAGGATGGACACCTAAGTGCAATAAAAGAAAATTGTGGGAATATCAGCGTAATGGCTATGTCACTGAACTCCCATGTAGTCGACCGTGGTTTTAGTCTCGGACCCAGTGACTTAAATTCATGCTGGGTACATGTGCATGCATGCCCAAGATCCTGTGAGGAGAATGGAGGAGAAGGGATTGCGGTGTGGCCATCCCCACTGGGGGGTGATTTATTGCTTTCTGTCTCTCTGTCTCTCTCTATCTTTCTGGCACGCACACACGCCCTATAGCAAAAACCTCTCCAATAAATAAATAAATAAAATTAAAAATAAATTGCTTTTGTAACCAATTTTGTATTATTAAATTTAAAACCAATAGAGACAGACACTATAAGAGCTAGACAGCCCACCCCCACACAGATGTCACGAGGGCATCAGACTCCTCATATATCAAGAAGGCCACGTCTACCTCCATAGGAAGTAATGAGAAGATATACCTATGGAGGTAGTAATGTTTCCTTATTACTGTTTCCTGGCACAGTGACATTAGAAGTCATCAAAAATATAATCCTTAAATAACGTTAAGACTGTGAGAGGACAATACAAAAATTTTGACGGTTTAATAGAAAAATGATTTGCTATACAATGTGTATGAACTTTTCAAATTATGTAAGAAATGATAACTAACAGGTGCTTACAACCAAGATACAAAAATATTATTGATAGAATTCTTTGGCAATGATTTTAAAGCATCCAGGAAAGAATGATTCAATAAGAAATTACAAGCATAATTAAAATAAGAATGTAGAAAATCTCAGCAAAGAAATAGTAGATATATAAAATAACCAAATGGAAATTTTATGAATGGAAATTATATAACCAAAATTAACTCAGTGGATGAGGTCAAAAGAAGAATGAATAGAACAGAGAAATCATCATAAATTGGAATACAGAGCAATAGAAATTACCAACTGAACAACAAACTAAAAAAATATAAAGTCCAACATACTATTCCTATATGTACATACATTGGGGCCAGCAGGTGGAGTGATGGTTAAAGATGCTGGACTCCTACATGGCCAACCGCAGTTTGAGTCCTGGACCTGTTGTCTTCCTCTCTCTCTCTTTCTCTCTCTCTCTCTCTTTCTCTCTCTCTCTCTATCTCTCTCTGGTCAATTAAAATAAATAAATAAATAAATAAATAAATAAATAGAGTTAAATAAAATACTTCTTTAAAAAATGTACATACATCAAACAACAGAGCTGTAAATGTTAAAGTATTAGGTTGTTTGGAAAGTCATGACATATTTTCCTATTTTTTTTAAGCAAAAATGCATCATGACTTTCCTGGCAATACAGTAAAACAGACTCAACCAAAAGAAGTTCACAAATAACAACGATGGAGACATTAACACTCCACTCTCGACAGTAGAAAAGACAGCTTCCCAGAAAATCTTCAAGAATGTCAAACTCGGGAACCAGCAGTTAGCGTAATGGCTATGTCGCTGGACTCCCACGTAGTCGACCGCAGTTCGCGTCCTGGACCCGGTGGCTTAAGACTCACGCCGGGTGCGTGTGTGTGTGTGCCCAAGATCCCGAGAGGAGAATGGAGGAGAAGGGATTGCGGCGTGACCATCCCCCCGGAGGGGGATTTCTTGCTTTCCGTCTCTATGTCTCTCTCTGTCTGTCTGGCGAGCGCCCTATAGCAAAAATCTCTCCAAAAAAAAAAAGAATGTCAAACTCAAAAAACATCACCAGTCAACAGGCGCTAGTCAATATTTATAGAACACTCCACCCAACAATAGAATACCCACTTTTTTCCGTGCTCATGGAACATATGCAAAGTAGACCATATCCGGGGCAGAAAAGAAACCTCAGAAAACTTGGAACCACAATTAATAAAACAAATAAATTGAAAAAAATGTGGCACATATAAACTATGAAATACTACTCAGCCGTAAGAAATAATAACACTAATATCTGATATGAAGTGGACAAATATGGAAGATTTAATCTAAGTGAAGCAATAAAAGACAGGTATTGTATGTACCCACATAATATACACTGATTATCTACACTCTACAGCAGAAACGGAAAGATTGAAAGATATAATAGCTGGGAGAGCAACTGTAGATATCAGTGACAGTGTGAGGAGCAGTGGGTAATAAAGGATGGGAGGAAGGGGATCAGGGAAATAACAAACAACAGTTAACAAACACACACACAAAGTTTTCTGTTGATGATAATGTATATGGTAACATCTTTGATTTGACTGATATAAACTGTATTCATGTGGGACACACCATGCTTTACTCTGAGAAGATATACAGTGATTAAATGTAAATTTTATAAATAATAATAAGAAAGAGAGAAAATAAAACAAGAAAATCTTCAAATACTTGAAACTAAACAGACTTCCAAATAATCCATAGGTCAAAGTAGTCTCAAGAGAAATAAAAAATACATTGAACAGAATACGTATGAACATTTAAGATAGCAAAATGTGTGTGTCACCATTCTTCAATATAAAAACCCAGGACTTTACATGGAAATGACTGATTCTAGGATACAGACAGGGAATGTACAGTATGAGCCTGGAGCATTTTGTAGTCCTAGGCTATAAGGAGGTATGAAAACAAAACCAAATGTAAGGACACACTGATGGTGATTTATCGAAGGAGAGGGAGGACAAATATGCCCAATGGCCGAGGCTGGAAAACAAAATGAAGTCCGGTGGATTATAATCTGAAGTATAAAGTAGATATCCATGACTACGTGCCAATATAAGTGACTGAATAAGTTAATAAATAGGATAGTTCTTAGAGATGAATACCACAGGCCTGAGAATTTCTAATGGATACTGGTGATGGTTAATTACAAGTGTCCACTTTCTGGGCCACAGAGCCCAGATCAAACACTCTGGATATTTCTGTGAGGGTGTTTTTCAATGAGATTCACACTGAAAATGGTGACTTCTGAATAAAGTAGGCTGCCTTCCATAATGAACTGGCCCTCACTCATTCCGTTAAAAATCTAAATGGAACACATAGATGACCTTCATCAACCAAAAGGGAGTTCAACAACACACTGTCTTTGGACTTCATCTGCAGACATGAGATTTCCCTGGTTCTGCAGCAGACTATCTTTTAACTCCAACTGCAACTTTTCCCAAATCTACAGCTTGCCAGACACACAAAATTGTGCAGTTCTCACGCCTCCATAATTAAATTCTTTTAAAATAAACATCTTTCTGCATATAAATGTTGTTGGTTCTGTTTCTCTAGAGAATTCTAATATCTCACTGTACCCTAATTGATAGGGAGCATAACTATTTGTTAAGAGTGGGCTACACCTAGCATCCTCCTTCCAAAGAACAGAGAATGGAGAGCAGAGGGAAAAGGTCATTTCAAAATGGAGACATAAGACACACTGCCTTGTGACCAGTCAGGGTCGATAGTCAAAAATAGTTTTTATAATATGTACCCTTTTTTTTTTTTTTTTGGAGAGGTTTTTGCTATAGGGCGCGTGCGCTCGCCAGACAGACAGAGAGAGACAGAGAGACAGAAAGCGAGAAATCACCCCCCAGGGGGGATGGCCATGACGCAATCCCTTCTCCTCCATTCTCCTCTCGGGATCTTGGGCACGCACCCACACGCGCCTGGCGTGAGTTTAAGCCACTCGATCTGGGACTCAAACCACGGTCGACTACGTGGGAGTCCAGCAACATAGCCATTACGCTAACTGCTGGTCCCTATATGTACCCTTTTATGATGTGATGAAAATAGTATTTTACATCTGTGATCTTCCTCCTAAAGCAAACAATTCTGGTCTAATAAATAGAAATATATTAGACAAATTCTGACATAGGGGCATCCTACAATGTAATAGACCAGTATTCCTCAAAACTGTCAAAACTAGCAAAGATTGAGAAACTATCACAGACAAGAAGAGCATAAAGAGACAAGAAATATAATGTGGCACCTGGCTGAGGTTCTAAAATAGAAAAATGTTATTACTTAAAACTAAAGAGTGGTGGGCTAGCAGGTAGCATGGGGGTTGAGGTGCTGGACTCCCACATGGCCAGCTATGATTTGGATCCTGGACCTAGCAGCTTGCTTTCTCACTTTCCCTTTCTCCCTCTCTCTCTGTCCCTCTGGTGAATTTTTAAAAATTATAATAGTAAATAAAATTTTAAAATAAATGATTCTTTAAAGAAAACAAACAAACTTCAACAGGTGAAGTGATGACAAGGCTGGACTACCATATAGGTGACTGTAGTTTGAATCTTAGGCCTGGTGCTTGAAAATTATGCCAGGTGTGTGTGCATGCATGGGCAAAATCCAGAGAGGAGACTGGAGGAGAAACAATTGCACTGTGGCCATCTTCCCCAAGAAATGATTTCTCACTTTCCCTCTCTGTCTCTATCTCTCTCCTGCAAGCGTGTATGCTCACTGGCAAAACCCTTAATAAAATAAAGGAATTAGAATAAATTATGGAGTTTAATTAGTAATAATATATCAATATTTTTTCATTAATTCTGACAAATGTATCATATAAGATGTTCATCTTAGGGGACTCTACAGGGTAGAAGTCAAATGAGATTTCTTTGTATTATCTGCTTAATCATTCTATAAATATAAACTGTTCTTAAAGTTAAAACTTTAACTGTTCTTAAAAATAAAAATTTTAAGAACTTAAATAATTTGCATTCATAATAAAAGCATAAGCACCATCACCATTTTTAGCAAATGATTTTAACTGATACATGAAAAATTTGCAAGGACACTTAAAATTTGAAAAGAAGTGAAGGTCAAAGAAAACCAAAAGCAAAGAAACCTTTTTACAGTTAAGGTTTATTTTATACATATGAGAATTTTAGGTAGCCAGCCAGTGGTGTGATGGTTAAGCGGCTGGATCCCACATGGGATTGAACAGTTCAAATCCCGGAAATGGTGACTTAAAAAAAAAACACATCGGAAAATTGTGCAGGCATGTCCAAAATACTAAAATGAGAAATATACAAGAATAGATGGCAGCATGGCCATACTCTTAGCAGACAAGGAGTACTTTCTCATCTCCCTCCCACTTCCTGAACCCTCTTCTCTCTAGCAAGTACACGTGCCTTCTACCAATTTTTTTTTTAATACAGGATTTCAGATCTTGTGTATTAGTACACTTGTAGCTGAAAATAATTGCGAGGGTCAAATGATTTTTTTTTCATTTTTATAAGGTTTTACCACAGGGTGCATGCACTCTCTGGAGAGAGACAGAAACAGACTGTGATAGAGAAAGTGAAAAATTACCACCCCCCACCCCCTGCAAAGTTGGGTGACCATGCTGCAACCCCTTCCTCCTCCATTCTCCCCCTGAGATTTTGGACACACAAGCACATGCACCTCGTGTGATTTTCAAGCTGCCAGGTGTGGTACTTGAACTGCCATCAGTAATGTGGGCTCCAGCACCTTAACCACCATATCACCTTCCAGGCCCAGAGCCTCAATTTTTTTTTTTTTTGAGAGAGGTTTTCGCTATAGGGCGTGTGCGCTTGCCAGAGACAGAGAGAGACAGAGAGAGAGAAAGCGAGAAATCACTCCCCAGGGGGGATGGCCACACTGCAATCCCTTCTCCTCCATTCTCCTCTCAGGATCTTGGGCACGCATGCACACTCACTCGGCGAGAGTTTTAAGCCACCGGGTCCAGGATGCGAACCGCGGTCGACTACGTGGGAGTCCAGCGACATAGCCATTACGCTAACTGCTTGTCCTGAGCCTCAAATTCTTAATATAATCCTCTTGAGAATCTTAATAGAAAATTTTATTTGGGATCCTTACATAGTATAGTCAGCAAATAAATCCTTGCCACATTAATTTTTACCTTCCTTGGGCAACTTCTTTACCATACACTCCAATTTTGTGTGAATCAGTTCTTTGGTAGTCTTTTTTTCTTCAAGACATTGAGATTTTTTGAAGAAAACTGGAAAAGTGAAAAACATTCATTTTCAAATGGCATTATGACTTTGATCTTGATACTTTTTTACATTCCTTAAAGAAAGAAAAGAATCTACAGATGTCCAATTACTTGTGTAGATGGAGTCTTACTGATATATATTTCCCATCCCTCCAAAGTCACTGCAATTCTTTTTTTTTTTACTTTTTAAAAAAAATTTTAATTAATTAATTAATTTTACATTCATTCACTGACCACCGTCATGGCATACAAAATATGATTTCCCATCCAGAATATACTGTATAGTGGTTTAATCATACACGTAATTTTCCATTTCTAGTTTCGTATATATATATATTTATATTTTCCCCTTATTTCTCACCTTCTGCCATTTCCCACCCTCCTCCCATGCTATCTCTGGTGTCTACAGTTGGTTTCCACTCTTTTTTATCCCCCGTATTTTGTCGATTCAGAAAATATCTTAATCTAACTGCTTTCAATAGCAAGTTGAGCTGATATAATACATATCTGTGAACACGTCCAACTTTAGGTGTGAAACTCTGAGTAGAATGAATATACTATAAAGTAGCACCTAGTTGATGCTATATAGCTTACTGCAGTCATTAAATAGGTATTTTTTAACATATTTTTAATTTTAAGAAAAGCAGTTTTAGCTTTAATAAATCAAAATCAAAGAAATGCTAAGAGAGATTTGCTTAAAATTTAAAGCCAGGAAACGGGTTAGGAGTCTCTTCAAATAGTAGGTACATGAATCTATTGGCAGCTCAAAACAGGACAAAAAATCCTTAAATCTGGAAAACAGGCCTAGGAGAAAAGCAGTAATGCTTTAGTCAAAAGTCCTAGGATTCTGTTTCACCAGTTCAGTCTTCTTAATCTAATCTAACTTCTGTTGTGGTCTAATCTTCCTGATTAAATTCTGGGATATAATATTCAACTCTAGACTTGTCCCTACCATTAAGATGGTCATTTTCTTAGTTGTTTTTGAACTCTTATTTCTGTGTGTTTGTAGATTTCTTGGTATAGCACTCTCTTCAGAACTTCTTGGAGATCTGGTCTGGTGTTGGTAAGTTCTTTTAGGTATATCTGAGAATGTTCTTGTCTTTTCTTCTCATATGAAGGATAATCTTTGTGGGAACAGTGTTCTTGGTTGAAATTGCTTTTCCATTAACACTTTCAATGTATTTTCCTATTCTTTCCTTGGTCACATTGTTTCCGATGAGAGGTCAGCTATTAGCCTGATGGGATATCCTTCGTAGGTAACTTGACATTTCTCTTTTGCCAATATTAGTATTTTGTCTTTGTCTGTGGTTTTGGTCAATCTGACTATAATATGTCTTGGAGAAGATCTTCTTGGGTTGATTCTACTTGGGGTCTTTTGTATTTCATGAGACTGAATCTTTGAATGCCTCGCTAGGTTTGAAAAGTTTTCTTCCAGGATTTCATGAAATAGAGTATCAATGCCCTTATTAGTCTCTTTACCTTCTGGGATACCAGTTATCTGGATATTTGGACAGTTGATGGTGTCTAGTATTTCTCATATATTATTCAAATTTTTTTCCGGCCATTTTCTCAGTCTTTGTGGTGGATTTTTCTAGGCCAGCGATGTTATCTTCTACATCTGAGATTATATTTTCTTTATGATCTAGTCTGCTTTTAATACTTTTAAGGGAGATTTTGACTTCCTATATTATAGTCTTTATCTCTAACAGGTCCATTTGATTCATTTTTATGGTTATATTTTCTCTTTTAGATCTTGTACGAACTTCCTTACCTCCTGGAACTCATCAGGCCCTTTCTCCTGCCTTATCTGCAGTTCATTGTCTCTCTTCTCTTCCATCCCTAATAGCTTTGTTACTATGAATAGTCTAAATTCTTTATGTGACATTTTCATGAGTTCCATTGTACTGTCTGTGGATGAAGAGCAGTTATTCTTTTCCCTTGGAGGAGAGGTATTTTCTTGCTTTCTTATATTTCTTGTGCCCCTGTGGTGATTTCTGGTAATCTGATTGACTGTGCATTTCTTCCTAATTCTTGAAATTCAATCTGAGCTGGAGGAGGCGATTTGCAATCACTCTTCCATTCCATTTTTCACACTTTGTGCACCAGATTCAGTGGGAATTGAGGAATATTCTGACCCTAATTGTATTTAGATGTTTGGATCCTGTTCACTTGGACTTGTTGAGACACTCAGTGCATGGAGGCTGAGCAGACAAGGAATGATGTTAAAGAAAAAAAAGACAGAAGAGGAAAGAAGAACAAAAATAAATAAATAAAGAAGAAGAAAAAGAAAAAAAACAATAAAAAATTTATATTTTAATTTTAAAAATCAAAAACTGAAAACTGTGCTGTGTGTGAAACCAACATTTCACAGCTCAAGTTCAGTAGCCATCTCAGTATGGGCCTGGTTTTGTGCCTCTCTTAAAAGGGAGGGGGAAAAGCACAAATTAGGACAATAAAGTAGGGACTTGAGAGCCTAGAGAATAAGTTTTTAAAACTTTTTAATAATGAAAAGACACAGGGAGACACAGAAGACAGAGAGAGACAGAGAGAAGGATACAGAGGCAGCCCTACCCACTAGAAATGAATCTTGGGGGAGAAGTCTCAGCCAAAGGATCTTCATTTTTTAGTACCTGAAACCAATATTTCACAGTTCGAGTTCAGTAGCCATCTAAAAAGTCACTGTAATTTTAATTCTGATTTATAAAGTATGGATATCTCCTAGAATTATTGGAATATCACGGTTTGAAAGAGGACATGACAGTTAATCATAGTGAATCTAAAGTAATTTATCTGTATGTTTCTTCCATATTCAATGTGATGTGTATGCAGAAGCTAAACCTTGGGAGGGAGAAAGGAGTGGAGACCAGCTAAACACTTGTGCTTAAGGATGTACACAGTGTATACCTGTCTGTATGTGGGAGGTGAGAATTAGTCATGGAGTTCTGGGTGTCTTTGCAGAATGAAGAATACACAAAAATCCCACTGTGACCAAGGAGACATTATTCTTTCTCTTCTTTCCATTCATTTCGTTATCCCAACCAGCTCTTACTCTTCTGTGAAACTCTCCATTTTTCTCCCAATTTAAAACAAATCCACTTTTCCCAGTTTAAGTTGGATTTTTCTCTCATGACCTAATTTTTATTTTCTCCTTGACATGCCTCATTCTTCATTTGCCTCTTTTATTTCACTAAAACCCTCCTTGAATTGGATCAACCTATGGCATAGTGGTTAGGGTGACTGGATCCCACATAACCAGCTACAGGGTCAAGTCCGAGACCTGGTGGCTTGAGAAACACACTGGTATATGTGTGTGCATGCCTCAAATTCCAAAGTAGGAAGAAGTAGAGAAGTAGATATTGTAGCGTGACCATTCCTCACAAAAGGTGCTTCCCACTTTCCTTGTCTCTTTTTCTGTCTCTCTCTTTGTGAACATGCACATCCTCTGGCAAAATATAAGAGAGAGAGAGAAATGGTTAACCTGTAGTATCCAACAGTCACTTTTTAACTATCTTCCTGTTTGACCCACTAAAATACTGGATGCCAGTTCTCTTCCTTTTTACCTCTTAGGACATGATTTTTTCCTCTTTTTTCCTTGCCTTCCTTGCTGCTGCTTCTTATATATATTTTTTTTTCAAGAAAAAATATCTGCTTCCTTCACCTACTTTTTTTAATGTGTCATACTTCCCGGACCTCCAACATTGTCCCTCCTACTCATACGAAAAACTGCACCTGAGTCATAGCTTATATTTCTATGGTATTACTGGCTACCTACAAATTAATAACTTTCAAAATTTGGATCTCCTTTACCCAATCATAAAAAATATGTCTCCCACTAGACCTGTCTGTTTAAGGTTCCCACAGACATGTAAAATTCAGCAAGCCAAAATTTTCAATCCCCATTTTCCAACCCTTGCAAGCTAATCCTTCTATATTGTCTATCTCTTTGAATAACACCATGATTGCTGAGTTTATCAATCAGAATATTGGAGTCATCTTTTATTTCTCTGGGTTCCTTATTCCAAACAACTAATAATCATCAAGTTTCTGCCTTCTTGGTTCTCTCTCCTCTGTCATTCAAAACTATTTCCTCTCATTCTTCTCAAACACCAGATTTACAATTGGCTCTATTTCTGAAGTACACTAATGAATGAGACTCTAACATCTCTCTTTGCATCTATATTTAGGCTGATATACCAACTTTACACACATCAGTAAAGAGCTCATATCTTTTTTTTTTTTTCTTTTTACAGAGTTTTTGCTATAGGAAGTGTGTGAAAAACAAAGAGAAAGAAAACTAGACATCACCTCCCAGAAGGAAGGCCACACCACAATCCTTTCTCCTTCAGTCTCCTCTCAGGATTTTGGCATGCACTCACATGTGCCTGGCATGAGTTTTAAGGTGCCGAGTCTGTGCCTGAGTCTGTGCCTGAGTCTGTGACTGGTCAACATGGGGGTCCAGAAACATAACCATTATGCCATTTGCTAGTCCCCCAAGAGCCCATTTCTATAAGTCAAATTTGATTAAATCAATTTTCTGCTTAAAATTCCTCAATGGCTCTTCATGACTGTGACACCACATAAAAAAGGTGACAAGTTTCAGTTCTCCCTGTATCCAACCCCTTTGCAATGTGACTTTGCAGCTTCTCTGATCAAGAAATGGGGTCTGTTTCTCTGCCACATGAAGATGGGATCCCTTTACTTCCTTGGCCAATTGAATGTGCAGGAGAAACTCTGCACTAATTCCAAGTCGATACTTAAGGCTTTGCTTACTTCTGCTCCAGCCTTCCAAGTCTCCAAGTTGCCATGTAAGCGAACACATGGTTGTCTGATGAATGCCGATTTTTGGGCAAACAGCTCTCATCATCCAGCTACTTCCTCTTCCTCAGAAGCTGAACCACCTGTGACCGTGAGTTTGCTCAGCCAGGACCAGAGGAACCTCCCAACCGAGAGGAGTCTAAATTTCCCAGCCACAGAATTATGAACTAAATAGGCAGCCATTGTTTTAATACACTACATTTTAGATTGGTTTACCAAGTTCCAAATGATAAGTGATAAAATAACCTTTGGGGGAAAAAAATCAAAACTCCTTTATGGCCCACCACTCTTCACGATCTAAGTCCTATTTATGTGTCCCACCTACGACTTCTTTTTTTAGTTCCTCACTTAGCACCACACTACTACTTAAACTTCTTCAAAGTTGTCCATGCTCTCTCATGTCTCTCTGTTATTCCTTTTTACTAATTATTATTATTATTATTATTTCATTTTTACTTTATACATTGAATCACTTTCCTTATAAGTCGAATTTACCCAACACGAATACACTTCACAGCAGTCCAGTAGAGGATACTAAATACATTATCATCAACAGATAATAACCCACTTCTGTGTCCCATAAATGTCCTGCCTCACTATTTTCCTTATTAATTTTCTTCCTTACACTCTCCCCCCTTATCACACCCTCCTCCCATACTGTCTTCAGAATCTGTAACCATTTTCAGTGTTGCCATGTCTTCCAATATCTCAGTTTCCTTCAGAATCTGTAACCATTTTCAGTGTTGCCATGTCTTCCAATATCTCAATTTCCATCATAAAAACTCTCTATGTCATCCTTGCAGACACAGCTATAGATGTCGCCCCACCACCCGCAGGAAGCCTACCTCAATCCCCTGCTTACTTTCACCTGCACAACACTTACCTACAATGTTGTGATCACTTGTCCATTTGACTACCCTCTAAATTTCTTGAGAGCAGAAACTGTGTCTCTTTCTGGAATCTCTGGCCAGCGCATTGTGTGACATACAGTAGATGGCCTAAAAGGGAGGCCTAAAAAAACTACTAAGGAAGTACAGATGTGTCCTCACACAGTGTCTAGCATAGAGATGTGCCATAGATTTCATTCTCCTTCACAAACACGTACAGAGACTTTTTTTAATGAGAATGTATTCCATTATTTTTACAGGAGAGTAACTAAATAATTAAGATGAAAATTCATATTTAATTTCATGAATTACATCTCCCCAGAGAAAGTTGCTTTCTCAGATTTCTGAATGAACCCATCACCATAGGTCAGTTTCTAGTGGATCTCTCCTCTTTGCATAAGGCAGACGTTGCTCATGACAGAGCCGGCATACTTACTGACCACACCCAGAAGGAACGAGGCTGCCAGTAACAGAAGCAGCAGCAGCAATGAGGCAAAAAGCAGCTTGGAAAAAACACAGTTACTGTTGTGAAGGCAGCTCTTCTCTCTGGGTGCTGAAGGAGAAGCCAGAGTAGTCCAATGAGTATTAAAGTCCGTCCACACTTCCTCTCTGCCTTTCTCCTTCTCCCTTTCCCTGGACGACACACGATCACTAACTACACGGCATTTCAAATGATGTAAAAATAGCAAAGGACAAGGAAAAGTCATTTAATTGTTTAACTCTAGAAGGTATATACCTAAAGGACACAAAGCAGATAAATCTTTATACTGACAGTGCTTTACACCTTTAAATATGGTCATTTTTTCAGACACCTTGTCAAGTTGGTAAGATTTTGCTTATGGTAAAATATATTGTCAAGTGAGGTTAATAAAAACTTCAGTATAATATAATAAAATTTGGCTTGTACAATTAAATATATATACACTTATGTATATTTATACATGGGAGATTTACATGAAAATAAACAATAGGGTTTTCTCAAGACAGTAACAGTAAGTAAAACTTATTTTCTAAAGAACATTGTTACCTGTTTAATAAAGAAACTATATAATGTTCTTAAAATAAGAAAAAAATTTCCATTATGCTCTTGGTGCCTCCAGAGGTGTTTTACAATCGTAAACACTGACCATTTACCCTCACAGTTCCTGCCCTCCGTCTGCTCTGTCTATTTGCTCAGGATCTGACCTCACACGGGCCACCCACGTTTCCTTCTATCTGCTCCCAAACTTCATGCAGTCTGTTTTGGAGATGCAACACGAGCTAGGTTTCCTATCTCAGAAAAACTCCCCGGAAGATGTGAGGGGCTTTCCTTGTAGCATTTTTTAGTATACCATCTGCAGTGGGCTTTTGTTCCATTTAAGTCTCACACTAGCAAATACACCGTCCTCATCCTCCACCCAAACGCTTGGCCTCTGAGTGATCAAAACAGTTCCCACTGACTTCAGTAACGCCTGGACCTGGACTGGTGGCTTCAGGAGCTGTAATCAATATCTTGCTCGCAGCCTCACTCAGCAAACACAGGAGCAAAGCATGTCAGCGTCCTTAACTTGGGACTAAGTTGATTTCTGCCACACCAGGTTTCTCATAGTCAGAGGAGTTGAGACTAAAGACGGCATCCGGAAATCTTTTCTTCCCCTCTTTCCAACTGTATAGCCCCTTAATCTTTATCTGCAGTCAAATGACTGTTCTGCGATTACTGTGTCACTGACAAGACCCGTCAGAAAACCAGCTGCCAACACCACCTCTGTCTTTCCTGGGCGCCCTTTCCACCTCCCTCTTCCCATCAGGAATCCAACCGCCAACAAATGTCTTTACCTGCAGGAGAGGCTGAGCTGGTGCCTGAGCACGTGGATTCACTTTTGAAACTTATTTCCTGATAAGTGGCTTCCAAAGCCATATCGAAAGAGCTCTGGTTTTTCAGGAAATCAGTTTTATGACTTTTAAGACATACCATAAATGAGAAGTAATACAGTAGCAAAATGTTCTCTTGTTGTTAATAAATTAGGCCAGAGCAGAGGCATTAAGCACACTTTCCCTGAGAAGTATCTCATGAGATCTAAAAACCAAAATGCTAAAATCCACTGAGATCCAGTGGCAGGGCCAGCACAGGGAAAGTCACAGGCTTTTAAAGTTTGCATATACTTCTGTGCAAATATGGAAAAAAAAAAAAAAAGGAACTCTAAGGGTGGGGGAAAGAAGTAGGAAGGACAGAAAAAAGGAACCAAGTATTGCAGAAGTCTTTCCTAAAACCTGTGCTCTCTGAACTCAAAAATGACATTCGTGTGTTCGTGTGTTTCCACATGCAGAAGCAATTACTTATCGACCAACCAGCCTGGGCAAACACTCCTCATCTTCCAATCACTTCATCATTTTTGGTGGGTCAGGAAACCTCTTGGAACCACATTCTAAGAGGATTGTTGACACAAAACTCACACATCAGTCCACCCCCTCCACCCTGACTTTCAGCAATCAGCTTCCTCTAATACAGTGGGGAAGGCAAGTATCAGGCAATAATTAAATGGGGTCACAAGGTACAGGGAGATAAACTGACTGCTAAATATGACTTCTTAAGAAAGTCAAGAGAAAAGCTCTCCAAAACTTAAATCCTTCGTGTGCAATCTCTTCACAACCTGCTCCCAGCTTACAGCCAGATCTTCTGCCCTGAGCTCTCCCCAAATGATCCAACTCCTTCTTTTGTTTATTAATTTAATTCTTCATGAAAGAGAGACAGAGAGAGACAGGCACTTCAACAGGGTCCCTACACCAGGATCCACCCAAGCCTCACTAGCCCAGAGCACGAGCATGTTCTGTAGGCCTGTCCTAAACAGGGGAGACCCTGGGCTCGAACCAGCGCTTGCTTTCGTGTATTTGGGTGCTCCAGTGTGGAGTGCATAGTTATTGGTCAGTGTTACATCTTCCTGGTGAATTAGTCTTTAGCACTATATAGTGCCTTTGTCCTTACAGTCTTTGTCTTAAAGTCTATTTCGGCTGATATTACTATCATGACTCTAGCCTTTTCTTGGTTTCCAATTTGCATGGAATCTTTTTTCAAGTCCTTTACTTTCAGTGTATGTATGTCTTTGCTGTTAAATAAACTTATTTTTTATATTTAATCACTGCATATCAGTACAGTATACCAAATGAATTTTTCCATCACAAATATACTGCATAGGTTCAGTGAAAGACATTATCATATACATTACAATGAACAGATTTCTTTCCATTCTGGTTCTTTTCAATGCTTTGCTTTATCTTCTTCCCCTTGATTCTCTCCCTCTCACCCATCCCTATTCCCCACCCTCCTTCCCCACTGTCTCCAGTATCATCATTGTTCTCCATGCTTTTAAACCTTCGAATCATTAATTTTTTTCTCAGAGTGCCAACATTCAGTATATATTCAATGGGACAAACGATACCTCTCTTTCATCATCTGGCTTGCTTCACTTAGCAGTAAATCTTGCCTACTTTCTATCAAATGCAAGGGTCTCACTGTTTTTTGTGGCTGAGTAGTACTCTGTAGTGTATATGTACCACCCTTTTTGTTTTTTGGGGGAGGAGGGGGCTGTAGAGTTTTTTGCCTTACGGCATGTGCACTTGTCAGAGAGAAAGACAAAGACAGTAGAAAAGAAAGTGAGAGAAATCACCCCCAGGTGAGATGGCTGCGCCACAATCCCTTCTCCTCCATTCTCTTCCTGGGATCTTGGGCATGCATGCACACATGCCCAGATTGATTTCATGCCACTGGGTCATGGACTCGAACTGCAGTCAGCCATGTGGGAGTCCAGTGATGTGATCATGTGCAAGTGTTTTTCCAACTGAGAGTTTTCCTACTTGGGGGGTAGATACCTAAGACTGGAAATGCTGAATCATGTGGCAGTTCTATTTATAGGTCTTCAAGTGGAGGAGTCCAACCCCGCGGGCCCCAGGATCTGTCTGAGCCCCCCCCCCCCCCTGCCGGTCGGTTCAGTACGTTGGCAAGGTCACTACTGTGCACCCCCCAGACCGAGGATTTTGCTCCAGAAACTGTGGCAGGCTTGCTGGGAAGTGAAACCCCTC